GCTTTGTAAGGTGTATCTCAGTGTCCCTGGCCTCTATTTACTAGCTAGTGGCCTGAACCACCTCACCTCCCCAGACATGTCCACAGACGTTGTCATGTGTTCCCGGAAGGAGGAAGTCGCCCTCAGTGGAGAACCACTGAACAAAATCTAAGGACTTTCAAAGAATAACCTGGCGGTTCAACAATTTAAAAAAGTAAGCAAAACACACTGTGTTTTATAAAGAGTAGAAATCCTATTCAGACATATTTCACTGTATAAGAACTGTATCACAAATGTCATTAGTTAAATACCTCAAGAAACTCCTATAAATCCAAAATTTATGATGAAGACATTTATAACCCAAGCGTTTTCACATTGCCCTTCAAGATGGATTTTATCGCAAACTGTCCATTTTATAGGAAAGAGAAATCTTTTTGTAGTCCTATCTAAGTTTTAAAAATAATTTTACAAGACTATTTAAAAGTTCCTGTTACTCTTGTCATTGTGTGTGTGTGTTTTAACTAGTTTATAAGTAATTTTCTTGATCAATATTTACCACATCATTAAACGATATAAATATTCCCTCTCTGGGCTGTTCTCCGTACCTACTTTACAAGGTCTGATTTGTACATAGCCCCCATCAGGAGTTTATTTTCTTGACAAACTATCTTTCTTTTCTGCCATCAGTGCTTTCCGAGAATCTTACCTCAGTTGTTGACACATTATTACACTGTCACACTGCCTTTCAGGACCCACAGGCAACATGAACTCAGCTGTTAAAAAACTCTTTCTCTCCGACATAGAGTTTTCTAGAATCAAGGTAATTTGAATCTCTCTCTTCATCTTGCTACTATATTTAGCCAAAAGATTTACCCAAACCAAACTACATTTATTGCCATCCATTTATTGCCTCGAGCTCATACTCACAGTGACCAGAAAGGATAGGGTAGAAGTGGCCCTCTGCGTTTCTGAGACTCACTTTACTGGAGTAGAATGCCCTCTTTCTCTCAGGGAGTGTCTGTTGAATTTGAACTGCTGACCTTTCGGTTATCAGTCGGCTAGGTAATCAAGGTGGCCCGAGGGCTCTGTCCACAAGGTGTAGGATTGGAGTATTATATTCCTACAGTCCAGAAATAGAACTCCAAGTGTATTGTCCATAAGCAAATGATACTTGGTGATTAGTTTTAATGCTACAGTTCACCCGTATTACGGTTTATTAAATAACTTTTATAATTTGTCACGGGACTTCATTGTTATAGATAAATGTTACATTATGGAAACATATAGTTTGAGTTTTAAAACTTTTTATTGGCCATTGAATTTCTCCAACAGAGATGCATATTTATAATGCTGAGTAACAATGATAAAATGAGAATTTGTTGAAATAATTTAAGCTATCTGTTTTGATATTTATATTCCATCTATGTCAGTAGAAAATGTGTGTGAGAGAGAACATTTATTTTAATAAGCCCTTTGTCTTATCCTTTTCTTTAAAACAAAGCCAAACTTCCAAAACTTTTAAGTTCAAGAGAACATTTTGAAGATTAGAGAGAATGTTTATTATGATTAATCAGAAATCTATTTGTATTCAATTCTGATTTAAGTAAAAGCCAATCTTCACACTCACGGCACGTAGGGTACATTCTTTGTACTTTCCTTACTTTAACTAAATGTCGTCTGGATATTATTGTTGTTGCAAGGTGCTGTCAAGTTTGTTCCACCCCACAGTGATCCTCTATGCACAACAGAGGAGACACTGTCGGCCCGCACCGTCCTCACAGTTGTTCCTGTGCTCGCACCATGAGGTCAGTCCACGTCCGTGAGGGCCTTCCCTGGTGTCCTGCTCCTCTCCTTGACCAAGCCTGGTGTCCTCCAGGAACTGCTTTCTCCTGACCACAGCCAAAGTGCAGGAGACGGAGGCTTGCGTCCTTTTCTCTAAAGAGCATTTTGGCTGTACTTCTTCCAATACAGATTTGTTTGTTCTTTTGGCAGTCCACATTACAAATGTTGCTTTCATTTTAAGTGGAAATTAGAGCACATTTTTCTTCATTTGCAAATGCCAGTAGCCTAAATTAAAAATCACTTCCAGAAATGTATTTTAAAAGGTAATATGTGAAAAATACTGACATCAAGGCTATTTAGTAGGCATAACTGAGAATCCCAGTCCTTTTTCTTTTTCCTTTTTTTAAAATCCTAGTCCTTTTGATGTAATGCCTTCATGCCTGGTCTTTTCTGAAGAGAGAGGGGAAAAGCCCTTCAAATCCATAGAAAAACTACTCAAGGTCGCTACTCTTTTGGGTTGGCATTTTTGCCACAACCTGTAAAAGAATGCCCGTTGGAAATGTTCCAGCATCGATTAAGAAAGGGGGACTATAATAGCCCAAGGAATGTGAGTTATGATCTTGGCACCATCATTCATTATTTACACAACTTCTCTGAACCTTTCTTATGAAATGAAGTCTCAGGTGGTGAAATCATTGTCAAAGAGCTGGATGGATTGCAGTTTGAATCCCCCAGTAGCAGCGTAGAACACAGCATTTCTGTCACTCCATTTTGTGCTGTTTTTTTGTGATTCAGCCTAATCCTTTCAGGGAAGTTTTCAAACTGCATCTGCCTAGATCTCCTGCCAATTTCCTTTAATACCAAAGTTAGCTGAATCAGCCTCTTGCCAGCTGTCCTTTTACTGAGTGCAATAAGGTTTGGACTCTCACTTATTTATTTATTTATTTAATTTTTGCTGTTGTTAAACATGATCTTGGCTAAACAAAGAGCCTCTCAACTTTTGCGCTTCTATCACCTTCTGGTGGCCGATTGCGCTGCTCTTCCATTCAAGGCATTTTTGTGTATTGCCTTTTAAACGGGCTTGTCCCAAGACAGAGATTACGAAGTTATACATGCCCTTGAATCATTGAAAATGTCAGTGGACAGAGTTCAGTAGAAATGAGAATGCTCTGAGTCACAATTTAAAGGGCATTTGGAGTTAGGCACAACTGGTATCTGGTTAACAGACGTCTGATTTTATTCTGAATATGTCAGCTGCTGATTGGAAATGGTCATCACAGCTGCCATATTCTGGAATTATTTTCTCAAACTACCTTGCTCTGGGAACTTGTTTTCCTTCTCCCCTTATTCCTTTCAGGAGCCCTGGTGGTGTAGTGGTTATACGAATTGGGCTGCAATCTGCCCGGTTGGCAGTTCGAAACCAACAGCAGTTCTGAGGGAAAAAGACTGGACTTTGTACTACTGTAAACAAGGAACAGCCTCTTATGGTAGGGTTTCCTTTTCAGTGGACAGTAGCGCCCTCTTGGGGCCACTGCAATGATCCCATTCATTGAGAACCATTCATTGAGAGTGATCCCATTCACTGAGAATGATCCCAAACATTGAGAACATGGTACAACTGCCCCTGTGGATTTTCAAACTGCCAACCTTGTGGTTAGCAGCCTAATATGTAACCACTATGTCACCAAGCCTCCTCATTACATCAGCAATGACAGGCAGAATCCCTGATACAATGGGCTTTTCCTCCCGATGTGTCCCCTCCTGACTTCTGATCCAGAAGTGAATACCATCTGTTTTGACCTACTGTTATGTTTTCTCTTTCAAATAGCCTCTAGATGAGCTATGCTCAAAATGAAAAAAGAAAAGAATAGAATTTTATCACATACATGAGCCCCTCGGGTATAGGTGCAGTGTGCTAGAGGGATAGTGAGCGTTCACAAGTGAGTTCAGGCATGAATGAATGAACATTGGACATGGGTAGAAGCAAGGTTTGTGTTTCTGGTAGCCCAAAGGGAAGCTCAGGCTGTGCCTTACTGGAGAGTCACTGTCGGAGAGTAATAGGATGCTTTAGGCATGTTTTCAGTTGTATGGAGTTCTTCGATGAGAATGGCACATTCCAACTTCCAGTGCAGGATTTGGACTATTAATCTTTGGAACCCAGCCTACCAGGCAGTTGGATTCTGGCTATGTAGACCTTTCTCTTTTTTCCCCTTCTTCTTCCAATTAGGCAATATTTGTAAAAACTGCATGAATTGTAAAGTAAGAAAATGGATTGCTGACTTTGATAACATTTTTTTTATACTCCTAAGAAAAGGACCAAAACTCCAAACCAAACTCACTGTCAACAAGCCAAATCTGACTCACAATGGCCCGATAGGACAAGGTAGAGCTGCACCTTTAGATTTCCAAGACATCAGCCTCATCTTTCTCCCATGGAGCACTTGGTGGTTTCAAACCACGGACCTTGTGGTTAGCAGTTCAGTGGGTAGCCCACTACACCACCAGGGCTCCTTCTTAATAAAAGAAGGGAGTAGAAATCTCACTGTGCGACCTTGTGCTGCAGATACTTGGCAAAGTGTAACAGCTGAGAAAAACTCACTTGATGTTAAATCTATAGGGATTTTGAGTTCAAAAAAGCATAGACAAAAGTTGAAAATTTGATTCTAATAAATGTTGTCATGATTCGGTGCCATCACGTTGCTTCTAATGTATAGTGACTCTGTGCACAATGTAACTGTGCCAACCCAACTTGTTGAGGGGTTTCCTCGTTTTCACCGACCCTCTAATTTACCTTGCATGATGTTCTTCTATAGGGTCTGGTCATTCCTGATAATCTCATATATTCTGAAATCTTGGAGTATATGACTCTGCTAATGGAAGCTTTGGAAAACATTTTTTTTTCATTAACAGTATCCTAACGCTTTGTAATTGTTGCAAACTGGCTTTTGATAGCCCTTAGATATTGGTCAAACAAACAAACAAACAAACAAACTCAACTCATTGCCATCAACTCGATTCTAACTCATAGTGACCTTATCAGCACAAGGTAGAACTTCTATTGTGGGTTTCTGAGGATGTAACTCTTCCAGGAAGAGAAAGCCCTGTCTTTCTCACACAGATACGCCGTGATTTGTAACTGCTGACGTTGCGGTTAGCAGCCCAAAGCACAACCCACTCTGACACCAAGGCTCCTGAAGTCTTGGTATAAATATGTCATTTCATGTTCTCTTTCTTTGCAGATTCATCATTTACAAGTCTACCTGCCAGAGAAGAAATGATGGCAAAATATTCTAACCTTTCCTTGGAAGCTTTTAACATATCACTGACGGGTAAATGCATCATGTTTAAAATAATACAATGCCAAAATACGTTGCTTTCTTTTTTTTCTATTCTCTTTTTTAAATTGGGCTACTACTGTCCTACTTCTAGTTTTGCAGGAGAAGTGCCAGTTCCTTATACAGTTCCAATATTGCATGATGGGAATCCAGTGTTCCAAGTGCATGAAGAAAGCAGCTTCTCTGATCTGGTGGTGCTATGAAAGGTTCTAGAGGAGAGGGGGCACCTGAGAAGGGGAGGATTGTGGTAGTGTGCAGAAGCTCTGATGTTTTCATCAATTCATGCTTGTGCATCCAATGTGATCTCTCTGCATTGGGAGGAGAATTCTCCTCCCATTTGTTTCTTGGAAGAGCCAGAGAAAATGAATGACAGTGAATGAGTTAATGACAGAGCCATAGGAAAACAAGCAAAGTACTCCAGCAGAAAACTGAGCTCTGGATGAAAATACCATTTCATCCTTCAAGGTTTTGGATTTCAGTGTTGCAAAAACAATCAGAGTTAACACATTTTAATAACTATTACAATAGAGTGGAAAAATGTTAAGTAAGTTATTAAATCATTTCTTTTTTTTGGAATCATTTTATTGGGGACTCTTACAGCTCTTATAACATTCCACACATCAAAAGAGGAGCTGATACCAAGGACTCAAGTACAAAATGTTTTGGAAATGATGATGGCAACATATGTACAAATACGCTTAAATCATTGCTTTTTAAAAAAAATCATTTTATTGGGGGCTCCTACAACCCTTATCACAATTCCATACATCCATCCATCCATTTTGTCAAGCACATTTGTACATATGTTGCCATCATCATTCTCAAAACATTTTCTTTCTACGTGATCCCTTGTTATCAGCTCTTCATTTTTCCCCCTCCTTCCCTGATCCTCCCTCCCTCACTGGTAATTTATAAATTATTAATATTTTTTCATGTCTTATGCTGACCGATGTCTCCCTTCACCTACTTTTCTGTTGTCCATTCTCCTGGGAGGGGGTTATAGGTAGATCATGTGATCAGTTCCTCCTATCTTCCCCAACCTTCCCTTTACCCTCCTGCTATGGCTAATTTCAATATTGGT